GGGTGGGAGGGGCGGCCTCCGGCCCCCCCGGGCCCCCGGGGGGGGGGGCCTTCGGTCGGCAGTGCCAGGCTGGGGAGGGGCCGAGCAGCCGTCCAGCCCGCAGATTAAGGCCTTTCCCGGGTGCAGCCCGGCTGGGCATCTCCGGGGGAGGTCCCTGGCTGGGGACCAGCTGCTGCCGGTCCGAGCGGGCAATGCTGGGCGGGATAGAGCCCAGGGTCCGACCCAGCACGAGGCAGCTGCCTTCAGGCAAGCCTCGTTGGCTTGGTGGGACTCTCTGCCCAAGGACATCGGGGTCCTGTTACAATCCTGCAGGGCCTGCGAAGCAGAGAAACCCCTATGCTGTTGTTGTTGCCATCAAGTCCTGGCTGATTTATGGCCACCCAGCAGGGTTGTCAAGGCAAGAGACCTTCAAAGGTGGCTTGCCATTGCCTGCCTCTGTGTAGCAACCCTGAATCTCCTTGGTGGTCTCCCACCCAAATAGTAGCCAGGGCTAACCCTGCCCCCACTGCCATAAATGCTAAACACAAATCTGCACTTCAGCCTTGGTCCAACAACTGCCCCTTTCCAAACTTTATCAATAACACTAACAGGTGTGCAGAAATCCCATTTGTTGGTGAGAAGGTCCCACCGCAGTTTTCCATTTGGAGTGAGATGATTAACTTGCTGACCTACCTTGGACAGCATTTTACTTCTGCATTACTTACAGCTGGAAGGGCCCCTTTGAGAAGTCTCCGAGGTCACATCAGGGCTTCTCACCCATTGCCGCTCCATGCCAGTGCAGTCCCGACTGCGCCCTGGGGCACCACACAGCTTCTGAGGTGCTCCTTTGTTCCTGCGGTGGGAGGCTGGTGGGCAATCCTCCCTGAAAACACCACTTGCCCACCAGGACCGATCTGGCCCTAGGTGTGGCGCTGGGTCACGCTTTCGGCTCACATGCAGAGATAACAGGAAGATCAAGAATCAGTTTTTAAACACCAGTGATGTTGTTTCCTAAAACAGAAGCTGGACCCAAATGACATCTGAATTGCTCATACAAATATATGAAAGGGCTGACTCAGTCTTTTAACTGAACTCATGGGAATGTGTTGAACACATCGATCATCATGCACTGGGAATCAGCAACATGCCAATGACTCTGGTAGGTTTCGCCTTCTCTTCATGCCAGGTTAGGGTTCCCAACTTCCAGATGGGGCCTGGAGATCTCCCAGAACAGAGATCAGTACGTTTTGAGAAATGGGCCGCTTAGGAGGATGGACTCCTTGACATTATACCCTGCTGAGGCCCCTTTCCAAATCCTCCCCTCCTCGGGCTCCACCCCAAAATCTCCAGGAATTTCCACACCCAGACTTGGCAACCCTAGGCCGCTAAGGGGGGGGGGGGCTACCAAAAAAAGCCTTTCCCTGGTTTCCCACCAGCTGAACCTCTGCGAAGTCTGGTTCCCGAGGGAAGGCCCACTGGGTCACCCTCAAGCCTCTGACTGGTTGCTATGGCTGAAGGCGTTCCTTCAGAGACTTCTGGGCCTAATCCGACTAGGAGTTTAAAGATCTAGAACTCAGTTGTGAACTTGTGGATCTCCTGACAAAAATATGTAATCTCTCCTTAAAATCAGCCTCCATTCCTGAGGACTGGAAGGTAGCTAATGTCACTCCCATCTTTAAAAAGGGTTCCAGAGGAGATCCGGGAAATTACAGGCCAGTCAGTCTGACGTCGACCGACTAGGGTTGCGGTGCTCATCTCCGTTTCAAAGCCGAAAAGCCAGCGCTGTCCGAAGACGTTTCCGTGGTCATGTGGCCGGCATGACTAAACACCAAGGCGCACGGAACGCTGTTACCTTCCCACCGAAGTGGTACCTATTTATCTACTTGCAATGTCTTGCTTTCTAACTGCTAGGTTGGCAGGAGCTGGAACTAGAGATGGGAGCTCACTCCATCATGCGGCACACTCGGGTCTCGAACTGCTGAACTACTGACCTTCCACAGCCTGCAGTTCACCGTCTTAACCACTTGAGCCACTTTTATTTTCTTTCCCTGTGGCTCTTATGGGAAAGGGGAAGAGGGAAAGGAGGGTGAAGGGGGCCCTTTCTCTGGCTCTTCTCATCATCCTTTTTGTTTGATTTATTTTTATTTTCTTTTTTGTGAAGTTGAAAGTGATGTCATGCCCCCCATTGCCCCCCCCCCGAATATTTTCTGGCTCCTGGCCTGCTCCAAAGCATCCTTCTTCTCCAGGGGAAGTGATCTCTGTTGTCTGGAGATGAGCTGTGATTCCTTCTCCATTGGAATGGGGAAGGGGGGGGCATCTTTAGGAGGTGCTGCGAGGCCGTTTCATTGGCTGTGGCTTCCAAGGTGGTATCGGCTGCAGGCATATTTGGGGGTCTGCAGTTTATCTACAATTTTAATTTGTATGCTTTAAATTGTGATGCAAAAGCTGTCGTGAGCCACAAGGAAAGGTGGGGTTATCAATGTTTCAATTAATAAATGCACCAAAGTGCAGAAAGGGCCTCCCCTGAAGTACTCTAAAGTGTTTAGGGGGTCCCATCATGACCTCTAAGATCAACTGAATGTAGTGTTGTTATTGTAATGCCCAAGAACTAGGTTATGTATAGTAATTATATGCCATAATTATATGCCATAAGAAAAGGCAGGGGTAATTTCCTGCAGGAGCGCACAGGAGCGGAGCTCTGGCAGTAAAGAGCCCAGGGGCGTGGGCACATGCAACAAGCCCCACCTCCTGCTCCCAGCAGCCCTCAGTCAGAGCAAGAAACAGCCAGGTAAGCTGCAGAGCCCCCCCTCGGCCCCCCGGTCCAAAACAGTCCAGTGGCACCTTTAAGACCAAGTTTTATTCAGGCACAAGCTCTCCCTCTTCTGTGAGGACAGAGCTGCCCGTGTCCCCCCCCCCAATAGCTAGCAATCCAAAACAGTCCAGTGGAGCCTGAGCGGTGGGTGTTGCCTTCTGGCACACTTCCGGTGATGTCAGGGGGTGTGGCCTATGCAAATAAGTTATGCTAATGAACTCCTGGACCTCTTTCTCTACGAAATGACCCCTGAGAAAAGGGCACCTAGGCATTCTCAGAATGGATATGGGTTTATTCTGTTTTGTTTCTTGGTAATAGGAAGATCATATGAGTGAGAGTTTGCTTTATATTTAGACAAAAATATTATTGTATTTCCCAGGCAATCAGAGTACCACAGTAATGGGGTCAGATTTATGTGTGCAATAAGAAATGTTCACACAGACGGTTGTTCAAAACAAGAGATATTTGTGCTTATTGCATTTTAAGGGTGTTTTTTTTAAAAAAAAAAAATCAGCCCCACCTAAAGAGTCATCCCTACAAATATCACTATGGAAACCAAAATCCACAGCTATCTTTTGTAAGGATTTTTTTTTCACACTCTCTCTCTTGAGAAAAACCTGTTGCAGTGGTCTTATTTTAGAAGAAGATTTGCACATCTACTATTAACCAGAATTTGGGTTGCATTCACAAGTGAACACCGTTCAAGCAGAGTATTGATATTCCTTCTCTTTCTTTTCCTTCTTCTTCCTCGTCTTCTTTTTCTTCTTCTTCCTTAAAATATTTGTCTTCTGAGGAAGACAAGCATGGGTGTCACCATAAAAGAGGAATAGGAGCACTCTGTTCTCCTGTGAATGAATATCCCATAACTCAAGAAGGTACCAGCTAACCCTCACCTGGCTAGCCCAGGAAAGCCGGATCTCATCAGATCTCGGAAGCTAAGCAGGGCTGACTCTGACAAGTACTAGGATGGGAGATCTCCTTGGAATACCCGCAGTCAGGAGGCAGGGGCAGGCTTTATTCAGCCACCTCTCTGAATATCCTCCAGGCCCCAGAAGGGGTCAGTCATGTAGGACAAGGGGGAACGTACAGTGATTGTGCGCCTTTGCCAGGCTTGCTGGAGTCGCTGTCCAAGGTGCTGATGAGGGATGCTTCTAACAGGCAAATGGCTGAGGTTAAGTGTGTACCTGAATGCAAGACAAAGGCAAGGAGATGGAGGGGGGGGAGGAAAGAGGTTAGAGTATCAAATGGTGCAAGGCGATCCAATTAAAATGGTGCAATGCGAACAGATGGCCAGGATGAATTTTTAAAGAGCTTTTGCAAACAAACGGCGACCAGAACGGTGTTGAATGAAGGTAATGCTTCACAGCCCTAAGAGAGTCAGAAAACAGAAAGCATGGGGCAGTTGTGTTTTTCCTTTGTGCTTAGACTGGCACTCTGTTTTGTGGAACGGGATTATGGTAATGTCTGATCATCACCACAGCTGCCATCCACCCCCAGGCTCACATAGCCAGATAAGTATCCCTCTGGAGGAGAGCAGCCCAATATTTTACCATAATATGTACGAATATTAGATTATAGATTTCTATAACTCTGCTGAAACATTCATCATGGGTGGAATCTGATGCTACAAGCCATTTATCAGTCCAGGGAGATGTTCTGCATATTGATGGATGGAACAAAACAACTCCACACTGTCATCGCTGCAAAGAAAAGATGGCAAAAAGGAAAACATACGAGCAGTTAGAGCAAAATTTGGCCTCCTAACCTTGAAGACTGTTTGAAATTCTTAAAAAGCTGTTGCCTAAGGGTTTTTTTTAAAGATTATCTGCTAAATTTTTGTTTAACTTGTTGTGAATAAGCAAATAATTGAAAACAGCCAAAGAAACAATCTGCGCCCTGACTTGGATGGCCCAGGCTAGGCCAGTCTTGTCAGATCTTGGAAGTGAAGCAGAGTCGGCCCCAGTTAGCACTTGAGTGGCAGACTTGGACAGTATGTGGAGGATCGCTACACAGAGGCAGGCAACGGCAAACCACCCCTCTTTGTCTCTTCCCTTGAAAACCCCATGAGGGTTCACCATAAGTCAGCTGTGACTTGAGGGCTCTTTCCACCACCAACATTAAAAGAGGTTTACTCCCCCAAATAATGATCTATCACGTATGTCTACAATTACAGATACCTACAAATACACAAGAGGGCTGCGATGGTTAAGACGCTGAGCTGCAGACCGGAAGGTCTGTCGTTTGAGACCCTACTGCTGCATGACGGCGTGAGCTCCCATTTCTGGCCCCAGCTCCTGCCAACCAAGCAGTTCAAAAGCAAGAAATTGTGAGTAGATAAACAGGTACCGCTTTGGTGGGAAGGTAACAGCATTCCGTGCGCCTTGGTGTCTAGTCATACCAGCCACATGACCATGGAAATGTCTTTGGACAGCGCTGGGTCGGCTTGGAAACAGAGATGAGCACCACAACCCTAGAGTCGGATTTGACTGGTTTTTGAGCAAGGGAAACCTTTACCTTTTTACAAATACACATTAATTGAGGCCGAGAGACAGTGGCATGCCTTAGAGGTCTCCTAGTGGATTCACTGCTGAGGTCAGATTTGTACCAGTCACCATCCAGCTCACACTGTTGCCCCCTAGACTACACAAGCTATTCAGTGTCATTGACCCCCCCCCACTTCCCAAGAGAGCACCCCCCCCCGGGTTTGATTCCCCACTCCTCCACTTGCACCTGCTGTGACCTTGGGTCAGTCACAAGCTCTGGCACAGCTGTCCTTGAAAAAGAGCAGTTTGTGTCAGAGTTCTCTCAGCCCCACCCACCTCACAGGGTGTCTGTTGTGGGGAGGGGAAGGGGAAGGAGTTTGTGAGCCGCTCTGAGACTCCAAGTGAAGGGCGGGGTATAAATCCAATCTCTTCTTCTCCTCTTCTGCTTTTCACGCTCTATCTCACCTGAGTTAAGAAGGTCTGCTTCTGAGGCCTTGAGTAACTTGGAATTTTCTAAGTTTTTAATAAAGCCTTTTGTTCTCTGGGAAGGTGGTAAACCAGGAGGGTCCCAGTAGCTGCATCAACATCCCACCAACGCACCTTGAAAGATTGTCTAACAGAGAGGTTAGGAACCATCCAGTATGTATCAGTCACATTTTAGGTTGTGATTTACTTTATTTGGAATGCAGCCACCAAGGTGCCCCCCACCTCTCCAGAGAGTGGATTCTGCAAGATGGGAGCCACTGTTGAGAGCCAGCCTGGCTTAGTGGTTAAGACCGGTGGACTTTAATCTGGAGGACCGGGTTTGATTCCCCACTCCTCCTCCACATGGAGCCTGCAGGGTGACCTTGGGCCAGTCACAGTTCTCTCAGAGCTCTCTCAGCCCCACTTACCTTACAGGGTGCCTGCTGTGGGGAAGGGAAGGCAACTGTAAGCCACTTTGAGACTCCTTAAGGTGGAGAAAAGTGGAGTATAAAAACCAAGTCTTCTTTTTCTTCTACTACTGTTGAAAAGAATCAGGCTCCAGTGGATGCTGTGGAGGCATCCTTACACAGGGGAAGAACTAGAAGGTGTCAAGCAGAGGACCATAAATGGCTCACAGCGACACTTGGGCAGAGTCAGCCCTTCAGATATATGGGTCCTAGATGATGAAGGACTTTAAAAGTTATTCTCAGCAGCTTGAATTCAACTCGTAGACAAACTGGCAGCCAAAGTATCCATTTTAAAATCAGTGAGACGTGTTTGGTGACATGTGTCCCATTGCGTTTTCAAAAGAGAAAGCAGCTGTGTTGGTCCAAAACAAAGCCAAACAACAAAATTCACCTAATATTTTTTATTAGGACCAGCCAGAATTAAAAACTACGTGAAAGCTGTCAAGTTCTCCAGAACTCTTCATCAGTGTGGATGTTAGAAAGAAAAAAAGGGGGAGAAAAGCAGAGCTTTCAGGGCGTGGAATTGATACCTCTTAGGACAGTGACCCCCCCCCCAACACGTGTCTGCAGGGCACCAATCAGAAGCAGCGGTGTGTCCTGGTCTTGGGCAGGGATGGCTGGGCACGGCACCCGCAGTGACTCCACCCGGAGAAGGATGGGCTACGGTTGGGAGTCCATCCCGCCCCCTCAATTAAAGGCATACTCACGTCTCTTTGAACAGCACCTTTCCTGGGTCCAAGCCCAATCCACGCTGGATGCATCCCCCAGAGTTCCCTCACTACTCAGGTCCAGGGCAGTTCTCTGCACTCCCCTGGGCTGCTTCCTATCACCCCTTGGTCCTTTTGCTTCCTCCAGGCTTCTGGTCGTCTCCTCCTCAGTCCAAATCTGCCCAGCTCCTCAATACAGCTCCAAATACAGATGGGCATTCGCTTCTCCCCATTAAGTGGAGGAGTCACACAATCTCGTATTTGTACTATTAAAGCAAAATACAAACATGGGCAGAATGAAACTCTTTGGCCTACCCATATATCAACTCAAGCCTCTTCCTTTGAAAGCCCGGGTCTTCCTGAACAATATAGCGGTAACCCCAGATGTTTGTGTAGTGTTTCATGCACCCATCTGTCTTGCTCAACATCGGTGTGCTATACAAATAGTGACAGCTTTAAAAAAAATGAAATCTTGGGTAAATCATCTTTTATCTTCATTTCTAGAATCTGCATGATTACGGTAATATCTGTTACCATAGTATCAAAGCGTTCCACATGGTTCCTATACAGAGCTGTATCGTAAGCAATATAATGCTCATTGAAATGTCAGTCCTTGGTTAAGCGGAACAGTACTGGAAAAAGGAGAAGGGACTTTGTTTTGAGATGGCCAGTTCCTGATACAGCAAGATGGTGCTACAAGGAAGAAGAAAGAGGAAGGCCCAGAGGAAATATCTGGGGTAGGGTTGCCAAGTACAACTTACCTTAAAGCGGGGGAGTCCCAGGCCCTGTCCTGGAGCTTTTCGGCACGCAGTGCGATGACGCAACCCAGAAGTGACGTCATCGCGGCAGTCACATTGGGGACGGGACCACTATGGTTCGAGGGAAAACCATAGAGTTTTCCCTAAAATCATAGAGCGTCCCCCCACAACGTGCCCAGCGTGATGATGTCACCTCTGACATTTGGGGGTGGGGTTCCCCCAGAAGCCTTGATCCGGGCCGGTGAGAAACGGGACCATTGAGCAGGGGTTTCCCGGGGGGATTTGGCAAGCCTAATCTGGGGACCTGTGATGGCACTCAGATGGCCTGCCTGCATTCAAGGGCCTGTTATATCCCCTCTGCCTGGATCTTTCCAGCCTTCACCCCAGCGTACATGCTTACAACAACTCTTTAATATGGGTTAGGGCCAAGGGTCATCCAGCAAGCTGAATAACAGAGGAAATTTGAACTGGGAGTCTCCCAGATTTCAGTCTAACATTATAACTGTGTCTCTCTGTGCCTCTAGGCCTGGCTGAGGAGGCCAACCTGGCCTCCAGCTCTGCATTGCTTTGTTCATCTGTCCACAATGTAACTCCGGTAGGATCTCCATTTATTCCAAATAAGAGATCCAAATATTTTTTTCCTTCTGGTCTCTGCATTTTAAAACACTTCAGTCATACACACTTTAACCCACCTCCCTTGAAATTTTCATTTTCCTTTGGCAGGACATAACCCCCAAGATGTGGCTGCTTATTGGTTTAAAAGTCAAATATGACTTCATTCCACAAATTTCAGATTAATAGCGTTTTAAGAAATGTGGTTGGAGACACAGCTGCTGCCCCCCCGCAGGCCAGCTGCAAAACAACCAAAGAGAAAGCAACAGATGTAATCAGTAAACAGAGACAGAGAATGTTACGTTTTTGGTAAAGATTTATATTTAGAATATCTGAATTGCATCCATCCATATATCCATTCCACAGAGATTAGTATTATTTATTATTATCTAAAACATTTTTATGCCACCTTTCCACCAGATCAGGGTCCACAAGAGAGTGAACGTAAGAAACATGAAAACATTTGAGCTATTAAAAATACATTTAAAATTATAAAATAATTCAATAAAAAAGATAAATACCAGGAGAAGGGCCAGTAACCATAGGCTGTAACAGCATGTGCAACAGCAACTGAAAACATCAATGTAGAGTAAAACTAAACTGCAAATAATGACTGTAATCAATTGGAACAGAAATAATAAGTGATAATAATCCTAATAATAATTTGATGCTTTGAAAAATTGCTGCCCTCACTCTACCACAAAAAGCCAGCAGTGAGTACATGAGGCAATCTTCCTGAGGCAAAGAATTCAGTAACCAAGGTGCCACTCTGAATACACCCCTGTTGTCACTGCACATCAGAGAATCAGTGGTTGCATGTGGACCACTGAAGATGAACAAAGGTTCTGGATAGATTCATGCAGAAGAAGGCACTCCTTACAATAGCGTATTTCCCACCACACAGCTTTTTCAAAGGGGTTGCATTCCCATTTGTGGAAGAGAAGATGGTTTTCACTGGTTTCCCCACCTACTGCAGATGCTCACTTTGCTCCCAGGCTCTTCAGGAGGGTCCCCTATCCCACCCACCCCCAAACAGTATGGGAGGCTTCAGTGGACTACAGCAAGATGGGGAAAGTCCCATTTTCTGCAGTCTGAAGATAGGTGCACAGGTGCTAAAATCCTGTTCCAAGACCAAAAGTAGTATTCTTATTCAAACCACTTGAAAAGGCATTCCCTTGTGGGTTTCTTTGGGTGGGGAGCCCCTTTGGACAGTAGCAAGCAATGCTCCCTCTAAGCTGTGGAGTCATCTGAGCAAAAATTCTACATTGTAAGCTACTGACATGAAAGTCGTGAGTGAGTGATTTGGCTGCTGCATAAATTAGTTTGCTCTGGAGCCATCCTTCCTGAGCTAAGACAAAAAATGTGTGAGCTGGAGGCTAAAAAACTGTGAGCTAGCTCACACTAACTCAGCTTAGAGGGAACACTGGTAGCAAGCCAGTTTTCTGTTGATACACTTAAATATCTATATATTGGGGCCCAGATTTGAAACAATGACCAGATATATGTAGGAGAAACATAGGTGTCTTACATTATCTTTCATACATCTCTTTGGAACAAAACCAGTCTGGCCCATATGGATTATTTCCATAATACATTTCCTTAACCTTTCACCCATAATTGCAGTAAAAGTTTTATAGTCTGCATTCAATAAGGAAATAGGTCTGTAAGATTGTGGAAGCATTGGATCATTACCTTCTGTATGTATCAATGTTATGTGCTTTCTGCCACGCAAAGTTTTCATAGTACTTATTCATAACTTTTTGAAGTGACAAAATTAATTTGTCTTTCAGGCATTTATAGTATACTAGGAATAAGGTCCGTTGTGGAAATAAATACAACGAGCTCTAGAAAGAGGCTCTGGGAGAGTGCCAAGGCCTTGGGCACTCAGCGTCAATGTGCTGTGGCGACCTCAGCAGGGTATAATGACATAGAGTCTACCATTTTCTCCAGAGGAACTGATCTCTGCTACTTGAAGAGCAGTTGTAATTTGCAGTGATCTCCAGCCCTCTCCTGGAGATTGGCAACAATTGTTACTCAGGAGGAAATGGCTGGTTTGGAGGGTGGAGTCTATGGCATTGTACCTGTCTGAGGTCCCACCCCTCCTCAAACCTCACCCTCTCCAGGCCCCACCCCCCAAATTTCCATGAGCTTCCCAACCTGGATTCTTTGCCAGATGCATCCTGTGGTTGTAAGTCTACAAAGGCCACACAGAGGCACCCTTTTGCAATGGCTGTGTATTTCTTAGCCAGATGATGTAATAACATGCAGTGGTCAATTGTTGATAGCCCTACAATGAAGTCTGCCTGTTCAGGACCAATAATATTCTCTAGGGAAATCCAATAGAGTAAGTGGTATAGAGGCATATATTTTCCCCAATACAGATAGTACACTAATGTGCCTGTAGTTACTCGGATCCTTTGTCCCCTTTCTTATGAATAGGGACAATTATTGACCTTTGCCATATATTGGCACTGTCTTAGGTGGTTTCCGCAACTCCCCGTAAATCCCCAGAAGGGAGTTAAGGTATTCCCAAAGACAGATTGACTGAGGATGTTAGCAACAGTGTGGTTAGAGTGCTGGACTGGGACAGGAGAGACCCAGGTTCAAATATACAGTCGGCCATGGATCTCACAGGGAGATTTAGGTCTGTCGCTCTCTCCCAGCTTAGCCCACCTCACAGGCTTGTTGTGAGGGTAAAATGGAGGCCTTTGCTGCTTTTAATGGTTGGGATAACAAATGCATTAGATCAATAAGATATAGTTAGCAAGAATGTGAATGCATAAAGACCAAACAGTATTCTCCAATGCGAAACTTCAAACTAGACACCCTCTTGTAAACAGAACGTACCAAAGATATTTTACAATTCAGTTTAATTGATTTCATTACTGAGACAAACATACAGGTGACCAACTCCAAACTGTGCAGGGGTGATACATCAGCTGACGATACAATGATTTCTTTTCTGCCTTTTTATCACTATGGATCGATAGAGGAAATACTGGTGGGCTGGATTATTTCAAGATCCTCTGCCTACATGTCCTCAGCCAGAATTTAACAGATACAGGCATTAACAGTGAAGCATTACTTCTCAGTGCCACGTTGAAACAGACACATACAGACAGGAACGGAGATTCTTGGCATGCCGGGGGCCGTCATTTTTTCATCCCCAGGATGGCGCTACCTGGGCCTCGGTGCTTAGCGCTGCAGACGTTACAGAACTTCACTGAAGAGTTCTGGAAATTAAGCAGAACAGGATGCGGTCTGTGGTCTGTTATGGAGCTGGCAACCAACATGTGCAAAACAGAACTGGGGAATCATGAATTCTAAAAAGCCTGAGATGAGAAAAACATCTTGCCCAGCATAAAATAACTGGATTAGAGCAGAATGTTATTAACAAATATAGCTACATTGTTTAGCAGAGATTTATGGGTAAGAAAGAAACTCAGACCAGAAGAACAGCAGTGCGCTCTCATTGCTGGTCACATAGGGACCGAGACACCTGTGCATGAACACTCACATGCGTGCTACGGCAGAGGTTCAAAGAGTTGCCTTAGCCGCACCCAGAATTCTGTGGGGGGTGGCGGAGCAGAAATGGTTGTAGTATGAATGGGAATATAAAGATTTTCATATATAGGTTTTTCCTTCTTGATTGTTCATATTCATATTTCTCTGGTTTTTATAGATGTATTCTTTAAGTAATATTTTATTAGGATGTTAGAAAGGCCTGTTATATAGAAGGCTTTCCTCTTGTAGGTCTGATATTGCTAGCAGACAACATAATAGGTACAAAGTTCATGATTCTGTAGTTCTTAGGGCAAACCTTTCAATGTCTGGGTCAGATAAGATTTTAGTCTCGTATGAAGATTCCTTGCCCATTATCATTTAGGTTAGGTTAAGTAAACACTTAGTTTGACGTAGATATGTTTCTTTGTATCTGGCCAATCAGAGGATTATTACTCAAATTACCACTGTCTTTTGTAACCAATTATGCTGTTCGAATATTGTTTTCTTGATGATGTCAGTCCACCTATAAAATAACATGTATTTCCTGAATATGTTCAGAATATGCTCAAGAAGAAGAAAAAGAAGAAAGTTGTCAATATTTGGTTAACTATTTGGTCTAATTGTTTTCCTATTAATTGAAGCATATTCCCTGAATATGCTGAGCAGAAAGTAGTCAGTTTTGATGGGTCCTTTGGCCTAACTGTTTTCCATATTTCATTACAATAAAATACAAGAACTTCCTCCTCATTTGACTTCAATTTTGACATGGAATTTAATATGTACAACATGGTAATCAGGGCAGAAATATGTATACATGGGGGGTTTATTAAGAGGATTTCACTCCCCCCCCCATGGTGGTGGTTCAGGAAAAAGTGGTGGTTGTGATTTGAGAAAACTTCATAGATGATGCTGTTTAGAGACCAGCTAGTCTTTTCCTATGTGGTGGTTAAATCTCTTGTGCTCCACC